GCACCTGTACATCAAAATACATAATTTTCAGAGGTGTCGAGAAGAGCTAAAGGTAATCTAAACTATATACAATTTCAACAGCGCACAGGCAATCAAAGAACATAGAAGTTGGAAATCACACCTATAGACCACTCATCACTTTCTTACTGAGTCAACATAATACTAATTCTGAACAAATAGACCACGTTTATAATTTCTTTTTGGAGCAACTTCCTGAATTACTGTAAAATCTCTTGTTTAAAACAAAGCTCTTCAGAAAGGGATTGTCCTCAAAAAAATTACTTAAATTCCACTGAGTGAAAATCAGGGTGGCCATATGGACACTTGGTTATTGTCCACATTTCATCGCTGGGGGATGATTAATTGTCACTAATGGCTGGGAAATTGGCTTTGGCTCCAGACCCCAGAGATTCTCCAGGTATAGGCCAGTTCTCCTGACTACAGTCCAGACGTGGCCTCTTTTCTTTCTAAATGTCTGGCACTGGGTGAAGCCGACCTTCAAATACTCTAATATTTTAAAGCGTGTCTTTGTTGCCTTTAAAAACTCACACACAAACTCACTGAGAAACAACAGGTCACCTGGCGTGTATAGCTCTCAGCCTGGATGCGGTTTGTATCCAGGATAGAAACATGAGTTTGCATTTGTCACTGTGACACTGTTATACATGGACTACTGCATCATCTTCCCCATTTATTAAAACCAAAATCTTTTAAAAGAGCAGAGTCACCTTTATGACAGCCACGGGGGTATGGGAAACCAGTGTGAATCTCCAGAAATTTGTTTTCTTCGGGTGCAGATTCTGTCAGTGTGGAAAACCTCTTGGATGCGGTACTGTGCGCCCACTATGAAAATGGAGATAGTTGCATCTGTTCAGTGGATTTAGAGATACGGAAATGCAGGTGGAAAGGAGCAAGTCCCTTCAAAACACATGTTTAAGTCTGAAAACAAAAGTGACTTTCTGCAGCCGAGCTGATGTTTCCAATGGGAACTGGAAAAAAAAAAAGATTTTTTTTCCAGATTTTTAAGTCCAAGTGTGACAGGTCTGTGCATGGATTACAAGTTCCCAAATGTCTAGGCTTTTGTTTCTTGTCAGGAATCTTTGTGGGGTTTGTTTTTTACTTCTCATTTTCCCACAGACCCATGTACTCGTAATAGTAAGAGAGTAATTGTGTGAGATTTGCCACATGTACGGCAGATTTTATTCAAGATCTCTTTAAATGTTCTGAAATATCAGAATACACTCCCACCAAGTCTTACTTGTATGTGCACAGTAGTTACATCATGTAGTGATCCATTAAGTCCATTTTTACTAGTTCATTTACAGTATCTGAAAACTGTTCCCTCCTGCAGCAGAAGTTAAAGAACATTGCCTGCTTGTGGGAAAGACAACCCTCAGGCTGTGTGAGGATCAACTGTGCCTTCCATCACAGCAAACCTCGTTATATCAATGGACTTTTTCTGCCACCTACTAACAGTGAGTAAAAATATTTTCTCAACAGATTTTTCATTAGAATTCAGAAAATATCCTTCTACTCTTGTTCTATTGTATAATAGGGGCAAGAAACGTACCATGCCAAGACAGTCAGGCATGATCTGCTATAGCGAGATACTGAAGTCATGGAATGCTTTGGCATTGGAATGCTTTGGCATTGGAATGTTGTTGCAGGAATTTTGCCTATCATGTTACAAATTGTCATAGCTACCAGTGGTATGAAAGATGAAGTCATGAACGGTAGCTTAGATTGCTGAGATCCACAGAGCAGGAATGATTTTTCCTTGGGTATTTGGTAGATTATATCTCTCTAGTACCGATCCTGCTCTTTTCTGCAGATGCGCTATTGCCACAGGCTGACCAAGAAGTGATTCTGCCTCCAGCCCAGTGTCAAGGCTCACTCACACGTCCAGGGAATACTGTAATACCAATTCACTCTCCACTGATTATAAACCTCAACGATGAAGAGGATGATGAAGAAGATGATGAAGAGGACGATGAAGAGAACTGTAAGCAAGATTTTTCTATCCTTTACAAGCAAGTAGAAGGTATTTTGTAAAACATTATAGTGTACTTCTCACTCAACTGATTCATTAGAATAAGCACTATTTGCATAAAAGAGTGGTTGACAAGTTCCTAAAAGAGTTTCCAGCAAATCTCCAAATTATCAGACCTGACAGTCACCAGCTGCGAGTGAGGCATCATTTTCTAATTCCTGTGAAATGCCCAGCTGTATGTTTCAACAGTGGTATAACTCACATTCCTCTTTCTCATTAAGTAGACTTTAAAAAGTGATCCCCAATTCAGATAATTTGTGAATTCAACTTAAATAATCTCCTCAACTGATTTCCTCAACTCCATAGGCAGTCTCATTACAAAACATTATTCTGACGTCTAGCAAACACAATGCATACCAAGCTCTTTCCTAGCTTACCTGAATGTGTATGTTTATGTACTTAGGTCCTTATGTTTTAAAACTTATTAAATGCGGTTGAACCATTCAGTGAATCTCATTTAGAGATGGCAGATCCATAGGGAAGAGATGAACTGCACATTCCCGGTGAGTGAAAGGAGAGAACGACCTGCTCTAAGGCGCACACTGCAGAAGTTAAAGTACTAATAATTTTAAGTCAACACATGTTATCTTCTTACAAGGCTTGTAACTGCAATTCCCTTGCCCTTGGAAGTACCTAATGTGAAGGAATGATTTCCCTGTCCGGAAGCAGAGGTTGTAATTGGGATGGAAATAAAAAGGAAAACTAAACGCCAAAAACCGTAACCAAGTGAAATTCATTATGTATTTGACTGTTAAGAATTGTTGAAGGTCTTTGTCTAGCTATCCCCTGATCTTTTAAAAATATTTCCCACAGATGTTACTGACTGTGTGCCTAAGACTGCTGAGGATATCGAAGAGGAAAGAGCAATAAAGGAAATATGCTATAAATCTGGTAAGTAGGAAAGGAGTTGTCACGCTTTTTTGAGCAGCCATGCTGCACACACAGTAATCTTTGGGGTATTTTTCCCTCTTGATAATGTTCAGGAGAGTTTTACGGGATTCAGCAGCCTGGCCAACGGCAGTCACCTAACCCTGTGTCACCGTCCCAGGAAACTGAGCTACGGCCCTCGGAAGCTACCCAGTGGGACTTGCAGAAAGCCAAGTACTTTTCATCGCCTCGGACAATGGGTACCACTTTTGAAATTACTCTTACAAGGAGAAACTAGGACACAGTTTGCCCCTCCTCTCCACTTTTTGAACTCAGGACAGTCCTAAGGCGTTTGCAAATATCATAAAAATACTTAGTTTTTCTTCTTATTTGTGTGTATGGGTATCACACAGGTGGTGACTACCTGCATCAATTGTCACTGTAAAAGGTGAAAATGGGCTGCATATTAACCCCAGGAGTACTTTCCTCGGGTACACAACATCAGTTTTTTGTGTAATTGTTCTTCAAAATCACAATTTATGTACTCTAACCATTCTAATGTTAAGAACTGGTTTCAATTTCTCTAGCAGGCTCTCTCTTGTAAACAGGGACAAGAGTCCCTATTTACACTCTGATAGGGCTATTTATTGCACCGTGAGGATGCCAAAGAACGGTAAAAAACAGCTTTCTCAGAGGCATTTTGAACTCTCTGCTGAACCTCTCTGGTGTCTAGAGGATGAGACGTAGTGGTATATTTCAAGAAAAGGACAGATATGTTTCCCCAAAGCTTTTTTTCAGCCAAGTTCTCTGAGGCTTTAGGTTCTGTGATAACAGGCACCTTGAAAATGCCATCAATTTAATGAGGCAGAATTCATACGTATCATACATGAAGAGTGAATCTAAAGGAATGATTTCCCTGTCCGCAAGAAGAGGTTGTAATTGGGAAGGAAATAAAAAGGAAAACTAAGAGCCAAAAAACGTAACCAAGTGAAATTCATTATGTATTTGACTGTTAAGAATTGTTGAAGGTCTTTGTCTAGCTATCTCCTAATCTTTTAAAACTATTTCCCACAGGTGTTTCTCACTGGGTGGATAAGACTGCTGAGGATATCAAAGAGGAAAGAGCAATAAAGGAAATATGCTATAAATCTGGTAAGTACGAAAGGAGTTGTCACGCTTTTCTGAGCAGCCATGCTGCACACACAGTAAACTTAGGGGTATTTTTCCCTCTTGATAATGTTCAGGAGAGTTTTACGGGATTCAGCAGCCTGACCAACAGCAGTCACCTAACCCTGTGTCACCGTCTCAGGAAAATGAGCTACGGCTCTTTTGATTTTTCTTCACAATCTAAATTTATGTAGTGTAGTTTGAAGCATCCTAAGATTCTTTTCACTGTATAGTATTGACTGACCAATTTTGCAGTCCTAAATTATTCCACAGAATTTGGCAGATTCTTGGTTTTCTCCTTTCTACATTTAAAATGCATCTTGTTAGAATAGTTTCGGTGATTTTTTTCTGGCACATGTTTATATATGTTTAGAGTACAGATGAGAGAAACAGTAAGAAATATCTGGGTTTAAGGCACATCCTTATTTTTCATAAGATACATTCTGAGGAAAGCATAGACAGATTTACCCAAAGCATTTCTTTAATTGAGTTCTCCGAGGCATTAAGTTCTGTGATGACAGGCAGCTTGAAAATACCATCAATTTGGTCAGGTAGGATTCATAACTACCATTCATGGGAAGTGGGAAGCTGAAGAACAAGCAGGTAACTTGGAGCTGGTTCTTTCCTTTGGAGCCAGTGCCTTCTTTACTCTGTGTACAACGGTATTTTCTTGGAGGGCATGAGTGTTATAGCTCAGGTAGTGGAGTTACTCCAGGCAGGATCCAAAGAACAGCCGAAAGAGAGAGAAGAATATAAAAAGGGAGTTGGAAGGCAACTGCACTGAACTCATGACAAGCTCCCAGAGGTGGGAGGAAGCGAATGGCAGTGCCCTTCCCAGTGCTTAAACACCAGCAGCTGAAACATTGTTTCTGGTGCTTTCACAGGTGAAAGCAATACAATTCCTGCAGAATTGAGCAACACAAGCAGAGGAGGAGGAGGGAGTACGGGAAGGAGAGTACCAAAAGCGAGTATTTCCAGAACTGGTTGCAGATCCTTTGAAAATGGAGGTAAGATACTTGAGCGTGGAGTCCTTACAGCTAAACATTACCTCATGAATGACATAACTGTCTATATTTGGATTGGGCTATCCACAATGAATACTTTCTTAATCTTGTCTTCCAGCCTTCAGTCTCCTGCAGTATGTCAAATTTTCAGTAATAGCACAACAGTATGGTTTGTTTTTTCACTTTTAGAAAGCCACACTGCAGAACCTAATGCACAACCCAGTTACCAACCAAAGGGTCACTGTAAGGATGGTGAAAACGATTCTCTTCCTAATGTGAGAGAACCTGGAAGAAAGCCTCATTCCCATTCTTCAGAGCCACGAAGATCAGCGTATGTAGTCTACCGAACTGTCACAGTCACCCAAGAACCCAAGTTTAGCCGACCTAGAGGTGGGTTCCTGCTTAAATGGAAGATTCTTAAAATGCCTCTAATATACCTGCCTGTATTGTGCTGTGGTCGATTGTGTCCCTGCAGGTAGAATACGTGATTTATGCCTGAAGACAGGTAAGAGCAAATTTGATGTAGCGTAACTTTCATACCTAGATTGCAGCAGTACTCACAGACAGAAATGCAATGCTTTATAAAGCTCTGCAATTAGTCAGACAGAATATTCATCAACAGTAATTAACCACCTTCAAAGCAGGAATTCTTTTCTCTGCCCAACAGAGAGGGACGACTGCAATGATGTGCTGATATGTATGAATATACCAATCCACATTCATTAATGTGTTTTTCATTCTTTTGAAATATGTATTAAAGCTTGGAATAGTACCTTTAACTTCTCAATTAAGTATGGTGGATTTACAATTATGTTATTCAGGATTTTTTTTTCATCTTGAATAAAAAAGGATTAGATCTTACTCAAACTGCTCTTCATTCAAATGCAGTGTAAATTTTTATGATTATTGTATTTTCACTTTTTTTTTCTGTTGGACGGAGCACAATTTCATTCTTCCTGCATTCATACAGGATGATATTTTCCTTTGTCTTTGTCCTCTTGATAATATGTACTATTCTCACATTTGACAGGAGCCTACAGGTGGGATACTGAGACTTCTTTTGTTCTTCTTGGATATCTGGTTTGGATGTAACCATAACTGTATGACCTTTGCTTTATTTTTAACTTGCTAATAGAACCTCAAAAATCTAATACATCATTTGGGGTTTATATGACTTTCTCCTTTTCCTGACCGTATCTGGACTTGTGAAAATCATTCAACACTGTCCCACGCGACATCCTTGTCTCTAAACTGGAGAGACATACATTTAATGGATGGACCACCCGGTGGATAAAGAATTGGCTGGATGGCTGCACACAGAGAGTTGTGGTCAAGGGCTCAACATGCAACTGGAGACCAGTAATAAGTGGTGTCCCTCAGGGGTTGGTGTTAGGACTGATCCCTGTTCAACATCTTTGTCGGCGACATGGACAGTGTCCATGTTTGCCAACGACGCTAAGTTATGTGGTTTGGTTGATAAGCTGGAGGGAAGGGGTGCCATCCAGGGGGAGTTGTGGGCCAATGCCAACCTCATGAAGTTCAACATAGCAAAGTGCAAGGTTGCTGGGTCAGGGCAATCCCAGGCACAGCTACAGGTTGGGCAGTGAAGTGATTCAGAGCAGCCCTGCGGAGAAGGACTTTGGGGTATTAGCTGAAAATGAGCCAGAAGTGTGCGCTCGCAGTCCAGAAAGCCAACTGTATCCTGGGCTGCATCAAAAGGACCGTGACCAGCAGGTCAAAGGAGGAGATCCTGCCCCTCTACTCTGCTCTTGTGAGACCCCACTCGGAGTATTGTGTGCAGTTCTGGTGTTCTCAACATAAAAAGGACATGGGATTTTTGGAACAAGTCCAGAGGAGGGCCACAGCGATGACAAGGAGCCTTGAGCCATATGAAGACAGGCTGAAAAAAAAACTGCAGCTGTTCAGCCTGGAGAAGAGTCGGCTTCATAAAGACCTCATAGCAGCCTTCCAGTATATGAAGGGGGCTGTGGTGGTTTAAGCCCAGCCAGTTCTAAGTTGCTGGCTGGGCTTAAACCACAACTGGGGCCTACAAAGATACCAGAGAGGGACTTTTCATCAGGGATGGTAGCAATAGGACAATGTTTTTAAACTTAAAATGTTAAGGTTAGATTTAAGGAACTAGTTCTTTACTATGAGGGTCATGAGGCACTGGAACAGGTTGCCTAATTAGTGGTAAATGCTCCATTCCTGGCAGAGTTCAAGGCCAGGCTGGACAGAGCCTTGGGTGACATGGTCTAGTGTGAGGAGACCCTACCTGCGGCAGAGGGGTTGGAACTAGATGACCTTTGAGGTCCTTTCTAACTCTAACCATTCTGTGATTATATGATTCTATGTTTATATGATTTTTGTTATACCAACAATTACCATTTTTGCTACTGTTTTTTGGGTTTTTTTCAGCAGTTCCCGAGCCATCTGTTCGGAAATGCTCCAAAGGAAAGAATGAGCCTGCCAAAAATAGGAAATTTTGGACACAAACGGACATCTACGGTAATACTGCAGCGTTGGGTGTAAACTGAAAATTTCAGTTTTAGTACGGAATTAATAATGTGAATTAATGCGATTAGTCTGGAACTAAGAGAAAACAAGGGTACTTACACATAACGTTGCCTTGCATCTAAGTACATTCACAAGCAGGGATAAAACAGGAGGACCGGATTATGCATTAGTTTCCTCTAAAAGCAGCTGATGCCTTCTGGAAGATTTTCAGTATAGGAACATGCACTTGGTTAAAGTCCAGAATGACCGTGGCAGAGTTGCCTCGCTTGGGAGGTCCTGTGAGCCTTATGGAAAGCCTGAAAGATTACAAAAAAAATCTTTGAAGAGAGAACTAGAGAGAGAGAGAATCTGTACTTAATCCTAGCTTCTGTTTCAGAGGTGCTGCAGGACTCACCCGATGCACTCATGGGTACTTCAGCTAAAGTAATATTTGTAGTAATGTAATATCTGATTCACCTGTCAGGCTAAGAGAGTCTTCCCAGAAAGTACATCTCAAGTGAGGAAACCATGTCTATGCTCTTCCTACAGACAAATACACTTCAGGATCCTATAATGCACCAACCTGGGGGAAAAGAAATCCACAGGCAAAAACATTCTCCAAGACTAAAACAACCATTCAGGTAACTGCTTGATAGAGATTTTGACCGCCTGGTCTCTCCCCACCTAGAAACCAAAATTCCAAAGTAACAACTTCCCCAACCAAATCCCAAAAGGTCCTACGCAATGCTGAGCAGTCTGGAAGAGCAGTTAAGAGTTGTGTTGATGTGCAGACCTGAAATTTGGCCTGTAGAACTAAGTGATTCCTAATTTTGTATAGTTTTACTGAAAGAGTGTATAATTTTACTGTATGAAATAATGCACAAAACCGTGTTCTGCGTATCTATTTTAACAACAGAGCCAAGAACACATGGAAGCGACCCAAAAAGGAAACCGATATGAAGACAGAAGGGAGATGAAACGAGTACTTGAATTCACAAGAACAGTCTAAACTGAAATAAGGGAATTCTCAACTGTAGTTCAAACGATCATAAAATTGTAAATTTCAAAAGTAAGATGTAGGGTACTCTCTGTAGTGTTTCAATACATTAGAAATTGTGGAAATTGTTTAACAATAATTTCACTATAATCCTAAATGTACTATACATTTACCTAATAAAAGTGAAGACGTATCATATTTTATTTTCATTATTTCCCTTGCTTGTATCAAGACTGTAATCACTTAATATAAATTACACTGAACTTTGACCACATTGAATTGACAAGCACAGTATTACACCTTCTTCAGCCTCATCCTTCAGCCTCAAAGCTCTTTGCAGAGAACTTGGCACCTCAAACCAACAAAACTTCTTCCTCTGTTATGCTATTAAAAGCAGGCCAGTGCAATGCGAGATGGCAAAGGCATCCTGGTGTTAAATACTTCCTATCTTAAAAACCAGGTCTGTCACCATTAATCTTAAAATGCAGCATCCATGAAGATTTCATGAAAAGGGAAATTTTCAGAGGACAGAGAAAACGGATTGATTTTCCAGAAACCTCCCTGCTTCTACCCTAGCAGTCACAGCCCTCTCTGGTATCCTTGCCTGTACTTTGTAAAGAAAACCCAGCATGTGCCAGTTTGAGATCTAATCCCCATCAGGTTCTTCTGTATAAAGAAACAACAACTGAGGAAGTACCACAGTTTAACCCCAGCCGGCAACTAAGCCCCACACAGCAGTTTGCTAACTCACTCATTCCCTCCTCCCTGGTGACTTGTAAGAAAGAAGCAGAAGGGCAACAGTGAGAAGACTCCTGTGTTCACATCAAAACAATTCAAAGGGGAATGCAAAGCTGCACACACAAGCAAAGCAAGGACATCACTCACCACTTCCCAGCAGCAGGCAGGTGTTCAGACATCTGCGGTGCTGGCTTCCCATGGGGTCACAACCTCCTTTGGGTATCCCCTGCTCCAGAGCGGGGTCCTTCATGGGCTGCAGGGGGACAGCCTGCCTCACCATGGTCTTCACCACAGTCTTCACATGGACTGCAAGGGAATCTCTGCTCCAGCAACTACTTCTTCACGGCAATTGGGGTCTGCAGATTTGCTGCACTCACAGATTCTCACCCCTCTCTTCAGGTGCATCACTGCAGGTTTTTGGTTGTTTTTTTTTCTCCTTTCTTAAACATGTTATCCCAGAGGCCCTGCCACTGTTGCTGGTATCTCCAAGTCACTGATGTCACTCACTGCTGAGGAATTGAGCCTATGTCAAATCTACAGCTTCATCTACCCCTCTAAATATTTGCTGTGGTTTAAGCCCAGCCGTAAATCAGACCATGCAGTCTCTGTCTCACTTCCCCCCTTCTCCCCTGACCCTGCTCCAGAAGGGACGGGGAGGAGAATCAAAAGAATGTAACTCCCACGGGCTGAGATAGGAGCAGTCCAGTAACTAAGGTATAACACAAACCACTACTGCTACCACCAATAATAATAATAATGACAAGGGAAATAACAAAGGAACAGAACACAACTGCCCACCACCCACCGACCGATACCCAGCCCGACCCGAGCAGTGATCTAGCCCTTCCGGGTAACTGCCCCCAGTTTTACAAACTGGGCATGACGTGCTGTGGTATGGAATACCTCTTTGGCTAGCTTGGGTCAGGTGTTCTGTCTCTGCTTCCTCCCAGCTTCCCTCCTCCCTGGCAGAGCATGAGACTCAGAAAGCCCTTGGTCAGACTAAACACTACTTAGCAAGAACTAAAAGCACTGGTGTTATCAGCGCTGCTCCCAGGCCGAAAGTCAAAACCACAGCACTGCACCAGCTACTAAGAAGGAGAAAAATGACTGCTACTGCTGAACACAGGACTATATATTTTGTTCAGAGGCAGCCTGGGGCCTGAATGGGATCAGAGCTGCTTGTTAGGGACATAAGCATCCACTGCTCTTTCTGCTGTAGCAGTAGACATCATGGAAGCAAGAAAAAACAATGAACCCCAGCAGTGTAAGCAGTTAACACACAGCACCTAAGAGCAGGAATCAGGTAATTTCTCAATTCACTAAAAGGAGTGAAGTAAGAAACGTGGAGCACAAGGACTTGCGTTAAAAGACGCTCAAAGAATAATGTTCATCTTTGTGCTCTCAAGACAACAGGTTCTACACAGGAAGAAGTTGGGTCTTATTTAAGCACCACAAGATGGGTTTGTTCCATTTTACATTAAAGAAACATGGGACGGGAGAATGGAAGACTCTTTGAGATCGTGTGATTTTCAATACTTTGATGAAACGAGATAAAGAAAGATGTTCAAGCTGGACAGGCCACACGGAACCATTATGATGATGTCAACAGCTAGACAAGCCATTGGCAGCCATGGCAATGGAACATTCTATACTGCCTAGCAACTGGTAGAGAATGTGAACTCAAAAAGACTAAAGAAGCTACCATCTCCTTCGCACAAGTGAGAGTAGGGAAGCACAAGACGTGCAAATGGCCACAGGTGGAAATGACTGCAATATCTATATGACAATGGTTTTGAAATTAGACCAGATAGTCTCAACCTGGATTTGATTATCACAGGTCCCTCTTCACAAAATAAACCTAATGCTCTTTTCTGCAGATGCGCCATTGCCACAGGCTGACCAAGAAGTGATTCTGCCTCCAGCCCAGTGTCAAGGCTCACTCACACGTCCAGAGAATACTGTAATACCAATTCACCCTCCACTGATTATAAACCTCAACGATGAAGAGGATGATGAAGATGATGATGAAGAGGATGATGAAGAGAACTGTAAGCAAGTTTTTTCTATCCTTTACAAGCAAGTAGAAGGTATTTTGTAAAACATTATAGTGTACTTCTCACTCAACTGATTCATTAGAATAAGCACTATTTGCATAAAAGAGTGGTTGACAAGTTGCTAAAAGAGTTTCCAGCAAATCTCCAAATTATCAGACCTGACAGTCACCAGCTGCGAGTGAGGCACCATTTTCTAACTCCTGTGAAATGCCCAGCTGTATGTTTCAACAGTGGTATAACTCACATTCCTCTTTCTCATTAACTAGACTTTAAAGGGTGATCCCCAATTCAGATAATATGATCCACAATTCAGATGGCCATCGAATACTCTTCACAAGTCCTCATAATTCAGGGATGACGTTACAGGCTTAGGAGGTACTTCTTTTCCTGGAAACCAGCTTTCGAACACGGGCTGTACTCACTCATCAGTGAAGCTGATGGAAGTCACAGCTTTGTTTACAAAAGACAATTGTGTGAATTCAACTTATATAATCTGTTGTACCGATTTTCTCAACTCCGTAAGCAGTCTCATCACAGAACATTAGTCTGAAATCTAGCAGACAAAATGCATACCAAGCTCTTTCCTAGTTTACCTGAATGTGTATGTTTATATACTTAGGTCCTTAGGTTTTAAAAGTTTTTAAGTGTGGTTGAACCATTCAGTGAATTTCATTTAGAGATGGGAGATCCATAGGGAAGAGATGAACTGCACATTCCCGGTGAGTGAAAGCAGAGAACAACCTGCTCTAAGGCGCACACTGCACAAATTAAAATACTAATAATTTTAAGTCAACACATGTTATCTTCTTACAAGGCTTGTAACTGCAATTCCCTTGCCCTTGGAAGTACCTAATGTGAAGGAATGATTTCCCTGTCCGGAAGCAGAGGTTGTAATTGGGATGGAAATAAAAAGGAAAACTAAGAGCCAAAAAGCGTAACCAAGTGAAATTCATTATGTATTTGACTGTTAAGAATTGTTGAAGGTCTTTGTCTAGCTATCCCCTGATCTTTTAAAAATATTTCCCACAGATGTTACTGACTGTGTGCCTAAGACTGCTGAGGATATCGAAGAGGAAAGAGCAATAAAGGAAATATGCTATAAATCTGGTAAGTACGAAAGGAGTTGTCACGCTTTTCTGAGCAGCCATGCTGCACACACAGTAATCTTTGGGATATTTTTCCCTCTTGATAATGTTCAGGAGAGTTTTACGGGATTCAGCAGCCTGACCAACGGCAGTCACCTAACCCTGTGTCACCCTCCCAGGAAACTGTACTACGGCCCTCGGAAGCTACCCAGTGGGACTTGCAGAAAACCAAGTACTTTTCATCGCCTCGGACAATGGGTACCACTTTTGAAATTACTCTTACAAGGAGAAACTAGGACACAGTTTGCCCCTCCTCTCCACTTTTTGAACTCAGGGACAGTCCTAAGGCGTTTGCAAATATCATAAAAATACTTAAGTTTTTCTTCTTATTTGTGTGCATGGGTATCACACAGGTGGTGGCTACCTGCATCAATTGTCACTGGAAAAGATGAAAATGGGCTCAATATTAACGCCAGGAGTACTTTCCTCGGGTACAAAACATCAGTTTTAGTCTGGAACTAAGAGAAAACAAGGGTACTTAAACATAACATTGCCTTGCACCTAAGTGCGTTCACAAGCAGGGATAAAACAGGAGGACAGAATTATGGATTAGTTTCTTCTAAAAGCAGTTGATGCCTTTGGGAAAATTTTCATGACAGGAACATGCACTTAGTTAAAGTCCAGGACAACCATGGCAGAATCGCATGAGTCACCTGATGCATTTGTGGATGCTTCAGCTAACGCAGTATTTGTAATAATGTAATATCTGATTCACCTGTCAGGCTAAGAGAGTCTTCCCAGAAAGTACATCTCAAGTGAGGAAACCATGTCTATGCTCTTCCTACAGACAAATACACTTCAGGATCCTATAATGCACCAACTCCAAGGAAGAGAAATCCACAGGCACAAACATTCTCCAAGACTAAAACAACCATTCAGGTAACTGCTTGATTAGAGATTTTGACCGCCTGGTCTCTCCCCACCTAGAAACCAGAATTTCATAGTAACAACTCCCCCAACCAAATCCCAAAAAGATCCTATGCAATGCTGAGCAGTCTGAAAGAACAGTTAGGAGTTGTATGGATTTGCAGACAATAATTCCTAATTTTGTACAGTGTTACTGATCTGAAGGCAAAAGTTGTACTTGCCTTTACAATGAGGAGCTACAGGAGGGGGTTTGGCTTGTAGCACTAGACAAAGCTCAGCAGAGACACTGCATGAGCGTGGTCTATTTGTCTCTCTTTGTCTGCTTATGTAGCATCTCCAAAAGCCAAACACTCATCAGCCACGGTCCTAATTCATGAAAGGAATCACTCTAGTAAACATTCACAGAATGCCCTGAGGGCCTAAAATTAATAGATTTTACAGCTGAGCAGAAAGCAGAGATGACAACTTGACCTTGCCTCTTGTGTCGACGGTTTACTGCTTAAACTGCTTCTGAAAGAGCGTATAGTTTTGCCATAGGAAATTATGCACAAGGTGTTCTGTGTTTGTATTTTGACAACAGCACCGAAAAGACATGGAAGTGAACCACAAACGAGAAGGGTATGAAGACAGGAGGGAGATGAAGAAAGTACCTGAATTCACAAGAACAACCTAAATTGCAGAAAGATAGGGGAATTCTCAAGAGGAGAAACCAAACACGATAAGAATGCAAATTCCAAAAATAACACGTAGGAAGTACACTGTAACACTTCAAAAGTGATTAAATTTTAATCCTTCATCATGGCTATGCTACTGCCTTGTTCTCATGCAGATTCTTATTCCTGACAACTGGACTCTATCAGCCCAGCCCTATCCATCCTATTCCTGATTTCTAATCCTATCTACGTACTCCAATGTTTCCCGAAGACGTGCCAGCTTGGAAATTGCTCTAAGACAAAAGAAGAAAGACAATCTCCTTGCGAACTCTTTCTGCCTTTCCCATTATTGGTTAGAGATAATTTTGCCTTTGTATGCAGTTCAAGTAGTGTATATACACTAGAAGGGTTTCCAGTCTAGCACTGCAATATTTGGAGACGTGCCTTCCTTTATGACAATGGGCAACGGAAATTCAACCCAGTGAGCTGCTCTGAGCCCTCAGTTTGGAGCTGAAAGGCAATAGCACCATTTTATTCCAAGCAATACCCAGGCCAGTCCAGTGAACTATGGCAAAAGCATCCTGCTGTTAAATACTTTCTGTTTTAGGAACTGCGTTTGTAGCCATAAGCATAAAATACAGAAGCTTTGAACATGCATGGGCCAGTTTGAGATCTAATCCCGTGTCAGATTCTTCTTGATGAAGGAACACCAACTGAGGAATTGCCCCAGCAGGCAACTAAGCCCCACACAGCAGTTTGCTCGCTCGCTCGCTCACTCACTCACTCCCCGCCCCATTGACGTGTGGGAGAAAATCAGGACAACTGAGAGAAAACTCCTCGGTTCACATGAAAACAGTTTAATAGGTAAAGTAAAAGCCACACACACAAGCAAAGCAAAGCAAAACAAGGACCTCACTCACCACTTCCCATCAGCAGGCAGGTGTTCAGACATCTCCAGAGAAAGTAGTCATCACCACGCCAAACGTTTCCCCCCCCCCCTTACTTCTTGTTTTCCCAGTCTGTCCGTAGACTGCCTTTTCCAGATCGGGAAGTCAGAATACTGGTTGGGTCCCTTGAAAGTTTCCCAGTACCATTATCCTGGAGTGACCCCGTTCCTTGCCGTGACCGTTCCCGACACTTAGAAAAAGCAAACGCAACACCTGCGTGAGGACCCGGATGCGCCACCATCCCTTTCGCCAGAGACCTGCAGCCGAACTCCTCGCCACCTCCGTCTCGAACAAACACGGCACCTTCCGCTGCACCGCACCCCCACACCTCACAACCCCCGTTGCCAGCTCTGCGCCGAGCACACACTGCGACTGCGCCTGCGCCGAGCACACACACACACACACTGCGACTGCGCCTGCGCCGAGCACACACACACTGCGACTGCGCCTGCGCCTGCGCCTGCGCCGAGCACACACACTGCGACTGCGCCTGCGCCGAGCACACACACACTGCGACTGCGCCTGCGCTGAGCACACACTGCGACTGCGCCTGCGCCGCCCCCGCGGGGCGCCACGGGAAGTGGAGCCCGTTACTGCTTCCCCCGCCAAGCTCTGCGGCACGGGCGTGGGCGCGGTGGGTGAGCTGGGCTGCCCGTGTCCAGCAGCCCGCAGCCTCGGGTCGGTTCCGCCGCCCCGCCCGGCCCGGCTGCGGGCCTGGGGCAGCTCCGCTCTCCCCAGCGGCAGCTGCCGCCGGGCCAGGGCCGGCCCGGGAGCCACAGCTGTGCTCGGAGATGGGTCCCGGCGGCCGCGAGGCCGAGGCCGGTCTGAGGCCCCAAGCTGTGGGGACCTCTCCCTCAGGACAGCCGCCTGCTGTCCTTACCCAGGCTCTGCCTCGGCGTACAACCCTTGAGTCTCTGCCGCTTGACTGTGCCTGGACGCCAGGCACTCGCTCACCAAAGCTGCTTTGCCGCTGTGCTCTTTAGCTGCACGGAGGGGAGAACATGCAACGAAAGGCTCGTCGGTCGACACAAGGACACGGACAGAGATCGCTCACCCTTTTCTCTCAGTTTATTGCCAATCGCAGCCGAGCAGGGGCATGAAAAAATAAAAGTCAAATTTCTCAACACCACCTCCTCACCAGTCCCTTCTCCCCTGTTGTCATTGGCCCTGTTGGACACATGGGAAGCTTCCAGCAGCTGCTCCCTGTAGCCCCCAGCTACCACATCTTTGCCACACAAACCCAGGGCAGAATCGGTTCTTCCTGACCAGCCCTGCTTCTGTGCCTCATGTAGGCCCAGCTGCGCAACTACAGAGCTGTGGATAGCCCCTGGCACAGCTGACCTGGCCTTCCTAGGGCTGCTTCTGCCCACTGATGGCTCCTTACTCATGGCCCTCATCTGCTTTCCTGAATTCTCCTTCCCCTGTGTGCCCCAGTCAGTCCTGCCCTGGCACACTAATGTCGTACAGCACCGCTGTGCTCTGCTGACCTGTCCTGTGCGTCTAGTCACCATGCACTGCTGGGCTGGGTTCTTGCGGAGTTTTTCTGATTTGTTTGGTTTTGTGTTGTTTTTCTTTGTGTTTTTCTGTTGCTCCTTCTCCCGTGGAACCGCTGGTCTCATGCACTTCTGATGCTGCTATGAGCCACTGATTCTCTTTCTTGCTGTTTACCTTCTATCCTCCCTCCCGTTTCTTTGGTTTCATCTCTATCCTTATGACTCTCAAAGTAATGGCATTTTTCTCCCTGGGGTCATATCTCCTTTTCTTTTCTGTGCTTCCGTTTGTGTTTTACTACCAAGTTCCCATGATTTGTTCCCACAGTGCACAGAAGCATTCATTTCCAAGTCACTGATGTCAAATATACAGGTTCTTCTTCCCCACAGATATTTTTTATTCAGAGGATGCCTAGCACCTGAATGGGATCAGAGCTGTTCTTTAGGGACACAAGTGTCCGCTGCTCTTTCTGCTGTAGCTGTGGCACTGGACATCATAGAAACAAGAAAAACCAATGAACCCCAGCAGTGTAAGCATTTAACACCTAGCACCCTAGTAGCGGGAAGCAGCAATCCACAGAAAGAGGTGCAGTAAGAAACGTGGGGCACAGGGACTTGGGTTAAAAAAACACTCAAAGAATAAAGTTCATCTTTGTCTTCTCAAAGATTTGTTTCCAAGACCACAGGTTCTACGAGAAGAAGTTGGGTATTATTTAAGCACCACAAGATGGGTTTGTTTCAGTATACGTGAAAGGAATATGGGGTGGGAGAGTAGGAGCCTCTTGGAGATGCTCTGATTTTCCATACTTTGATGAAACGAGATCAAGAAAGATGCTCAAGCTGGACAGGCCACATGCAACCATCATGCTGACGTCACCAACTGGAGGAGCCCTTGACAACCGCAAAACATTCTATGGAACCCAGACTACGGAACACTTGTTGAACATTCTCTACTGGCTAGCAGTTGCTGACGTCAGCTCAGCGAGCCTGCAGAAGGCACCATCTCCTTTGCACACTAGAGTGTGATGGAGGTGAAAATGGACACGAATGGGACAGAATGCTATTTCCAGTTTTATTCCCCCTATGCACAGGTACGTGACGAGAAGAGCTAAAGGTAATCTAAACTATATACAATTTCAACTGGGCGCAGGCAATCAGAGAACACAGAGGTTAGAAATCACACCTATAGACCACTCATCACTTTCTTACTGAGTCAACATAATACTAATTCTGAACAAATAGACCACGTTTATAATTTCTTTTTGGAGCAACTTCCTGAATTACTGTAAAATCTCTTGTTTAAAACAAAGCTCTTCAGAAAGGGATTGTCCTCAAAAAAATTACTTAAATTCCACTGAGTGAAAATCAGGGTGGCCATATGGACACTTGGTTATTGTCCACATTTCATCACTGGGGGATGATTAATTGTCACTAATGGCTGGGAAATTGGCTTTGGCTCCAGACCCCAGAGATTCTCCAGGTATAGGCCAGTTCTCCTGACTACAGTCCAGACGTGGCCTCTTTTCTTTCTAAATGTCTGGCACTGGGTGAAGCCGACCTTCAAATACTCTAATATTTTAAAGCGTGTCTTTGTTGCCTTTAAAAACTCACACACAAACTCACTGAGAAACAACAGGTCACCTGGCGTGTATAGCTCTCAGCCTGGATGCGGTTTGTATCCAGGATAGAAACATGAGTTTGCATTTGTCACTGTGACACTGTTATACATGGACTACTGCATCATCTTCCCCATTTATTAAAACCAAAATCTTTTAAAAGAGCAGAGTCACCTTTATGACAGCCACGGGGGTATGGGAAACCAGTGTGAATCTCCAGAAATTTGTTTTCTTCGGGTGCAGATTCTGTCAGTGTGGAAAACCTCTTGGATGCGGTACTGTGCGCCCACTATGAAAATGGAGATAGTTGCATCTGTTCAGTGGATTTAGAGATACGGAAATGCAGGTGGAAAGGAGCAAGTCCCTTCAAAACACATGTTTAAGTCTGAAAACAAAAGTGACTTTCTGCAGCCGAGCTGATGTTTCCAATGGGAACTGGAAAAAAAAAAAAAAGATTTTTTTCCAGATTTTTAAGTCCAAGTGTGACAGGTCTGTGCAAGGATTACAAGTTCCCAAATGTCTAGGCTTTTGTTTCTTGTCAGGAATCTTTGTGGGGTTTGTTTTTTACTTCTCATTTTCCCACAGACCCATGTACTCGTAATAGTAAGAGAGTAATTGTGTGAGATTTGCCACATGTACGGCAGATTTTATTCAAGATCTTTAAATGTTCTGAAATATCAGAATACACTCCCACCAAGTCTTACTTGTATGTGCACAGTAGTTACATCATGTACTGATCCATTAAGTCCATTTTTACTAGTTCATTTACAGTATCTGAAAACTGTTCCCTCCTGCAGCAGAAGTTAAAGAACATTGCCTGCTTGTGGGAAAGACAACCCTCAGGCTGTGTGAGGATCAGCTGTGCCTTCCATCACAGCAAACCTCGTTATATCAATGGACTTTTTCTGCCACCTACTAACAGTGAGTAAAAATATTTTCTCAACAGATTTTTCATTAGAATTCAGAAAATATCCTTCTACTCTTGTTCTATTGTATAATAAGGGCAAGAAACGTACCATGCCAAGACAGTCAGGCATGATCTGCTATAGCGAGATACTGAAGTCATGGAATGCTTTGGCATTGGAATGCTTTG